TGAACATAAAAATCTATATGTGCACATTATATATAGTATACATAACTGTGTATCACATAATACCGATGTAAAATATGATAAAATTATCTCTACATATAATAAAACAAAGAGTCTGTCTGTGTGTGTGTGTGTCTTTCGTTCGTGCTGTGCGTAAGCTAATAGACCCACGGCTACGAAATTTAGTACATAGGTGCATCTAGACAAGAGCCAGAGCACCTTGAAGCGATTTTTACAAAATTCGAATTCGAATTTTTTTTCATTTTATGTTTTGTGACGAAATCGCATCATTTTGAGACATAATGGGGCTATAGGAAAACGAGATTTTACTCTACACATTTCATTTTCGCATTGTCATGAAACATAGACACTTAGCTATTTTACAAGCTTAAAATAAATTTCGTATTTCAATAAATAGATTAAATACGATTTTATTTAACAAAACGAGCTTAACATTTTTTCAACGGGATTTTTTCTAAAAAAGTTTATTTTTAAAAATGTACTGTTTATTTTTCTTTGATTTTTCGACACGTTAAACTTTTATCCTTGCGACTGCTTTTACAAAAAGAATTTTGGAAAAATGATAATATTTTGTATTTTTAAAAATTTTTTAAATGAAGCTTCCGAGTACACTTCTCACATCATCTTTAAAATGTGATTTGGCAACAATTTTCCTTTCTTATGTTTTGATAGATTTTTGATGAAATCGCATCATTTTGAATAGTTCATTCTTTAGAAATATGTTGGCAACAATTTTCATCGTAGTTCTTATACCGTCAAAATTCCGTTAATCCAGACCTCGTCGGACTTTTCGCGATTCGGATTATCGATTTTCCGATGTATGATCATCAGTTTTAAATCTGTTAGGATGGCAATGCCCCGAAATTATAAATTAAAATATGACAACCGTAATTTATTAAATAAACGATTAATTCTGATCTAAGGGTATCAAATTTACTAAAGAATAGAGCTTAATATTTATTTGTTTACTTATTAAAACCCAAGAAAATTTCTTTCTTGGTAGTTGTTTTAGGTTGTTCGTTTTTTATTGCGATAATCCTTTCTCTTAAATTCTATAACAGACATATTCTGTTCAGTTACAAATTCTGCTGTTCATGTCCTCTAATTGCTGTGTCGAGAATACCGTACTAATTTTGGGGGTCCATCGAAATTTTTTTTCGGTTTTCAATAACCTCTTGGTCCTTTCTTTGCTATTGGAAGCGATTATAATGACGGGAATTGTAAGGAATTATATAAAAACATCTCTGCGCTGATATAAGATAGTGCTGACAGATCAACTTCCATTCATTGTCTCCGCGGCTCCCCCCCCCCCCCGGCCGCAGAGCAGCGTGAAATTGATTAAACAGATTTTGGATGGTTAGATAAACCAAATATGCCTTTATCCATTTTTTGCAGCAATTCCACTTTTGTTTAATGGACTTCGAAACATACTTTCGCTTTGTGCAGATCCTTTTACATATTATAAATTATATCATAAATTCTATTTGACATAATCGAAATTTCAAGCTTACTTTTATAAAATTCCTAACAGTCTGCAAAAAAATACACCGTATCCAATTCAAAGAGTAAGGACAACGCATTCCTGCAATCATTAACTGAATTAGATAATTTTTAGCTTAGCTTATACCCTCGTATACATTAAACCTCGAGCGCGACTGGGTTTAGCCCTGAATTTTCAATGTCCTCGAAATGTCACGAATAAGTGAATATTGTCTTGATTTTAATTTAAAAAATTGACTCTTTTATTTTGTGACCGGGATTCCTTTTCTTCATATACATCCAAACTGAATCGGATACATAAAAGCTAGCAGAAATTTTTCATGTATAAGATGTGGAAAAAAAAAGGCAACCTTCTGTACGGAATTTTCCGGTCGTAACGCTGAGGGATCCTCAGCTTCTTTTGCGGTTTTGCAGCTGAGGATGGTGGTTCGGTAAAACCACTGAAACTAGTCCTGTAAATTTTGAAAATATTACGCTGATTTTTGTTGTTTGACTTCTGAATTAGCTTTACTTCTGTGTTGGATGTCGGTTAGGAAGTACATTGCATATTTTGTGCTATGCATTGTAAAATTGCTCCCGGTAGTAAACTGGGTGTTTGGTGGTATAGCAGAAGAGACTGGAAGGTGGGTGTTTTTTTTTTTTTTTTTTTTTTTTTTTTTTTGTTTTTGTTTGAAGTGGTTGAGGACAGAAGAAAAGAAACTTTGTTGGATGTAATTCAACAGAATATTTGATCTGGAACAATGATTATATCCAACTGCTGGAAGTGTACGATGTCTTTTATAATGACTCAGTCACTTTGAGAAATCAGTAGTGAATTACGGATAGGAAACCGGAGCTCATATCAACACTATCGAAGGTATGTGGAACGTAATAAAAAGGGATTTTCAGAAGAAATGCCACCGTCAGTCCTGCACTAGGCAGGATATTTTTCACTCTTATTTTTGTGAATTTATGTGGCGAAGGCCAGACGCATATTCTAGTTCAGATAATTTAAGGAAGTTTTTGGATGCTGCTAAGGCATTTTGTGTGCCAACGACTGAGGGTGCAGAAATTTCTAAATACGTAGTCATCTAAAAATTGACTTTAGAAATACTATTTCTAAATAAATAGTATTTCTAAAGTCAATACTTCCCTTTAATAGTACATTTATGAGATAACATGTATTTCCTTTTTTATGTTATTTCATTGTGTGATTTTAAATGCAGTTTAATGAGCTTTAATTGGATATAAATTTTGGCGATGAGTAACTTTGTTTTAATCTTATATGATGTCATCCTTCTCCTCATTTTTTTTAAAGTGAACGATGTGTACATACACAAAGTCAAGGCCATGCGCAATGCTGGGTTTGTGCAATTCTCCGATGTTTTTTTTAATGAAAATAGATTCATGAGTACATGGACATCGAGTCTGTGCAATTCTTTGATTTGTTATTTTGGTCATCTTGAAATTATGCCTTACTAGCCTATTGCCAATTTTCGCCAAGGAGTACCCTGAAATATTTTTTATCCTTCGAAACAGTTTTGACTTCTTAATCCTTTCTTTTCTTTACAGGTTTCTTTCCTGCACCCCCATTTTGCTGCTGAGTTACTGCTAAAGTATAATTTGATCTTGTGGTTGTTTGAACACAATTTTGTAGCATGAATGATGTCTTTTCTTTGGAAAAATTCTGTTGCTGACTTCTTGTCATTGGGCAAATCCCAAATTATTAGATCCATAGCATTATCAAAAAAGCTCATTCAAAAATTCAAAAATGAAAACTAGTATTTCAATGGCGACTTACAAATGTAGAACCATCTAAGTTTACATTCTCTAAAATTGGCGTGTTCGCTAGATTTGGCATGCGATTAAGCAGGCCCATTTGCTGCCTTTGCGTATTTATTTTCGATGCAATTTTTTATGGTACCTAAAACAGAACAGTATTGAATAATCTGCTAGGTTCGTGATGACTCAGATGTGGTTGAGATTGTTTTTGTGCTTATTTTTTACCAATTCATGTTTCCATTTTTATTTAAAAATATCACAGCGATTTAACAATTTCTTTAACATTTTGCAAATTTTCTTTATTTTAGATACATACTCATTTAAGGTTTTATTACATTTTTAATTTAATTTATTTATTTATTCTTGTTCCTCTTTACTGATAGTCTTTCATAGGGCTCTGGCACTTCTAATTTTCAAAATTAAGTCCTAAGTGACGCAGAAGACATATCTAGATTTTTATTTTTCATGAAAGTATAAGTCTTTTGAGACATGATGTCAATCACTGCATAAAACAGTCAAAAAGCTCAATTTTGTACTGTATCAACATCCTATATATTAACAATATACATTCCATGACAGCAGTCTGCTGATGTTCCATCACAAGAAACTTCAAATTACTTTTTTGTTGTTTGTTTGTTTAACTTACAAATTTATAGCATTTCTTATACCTAAATTTAAGAAATAAAATGAAGTGGCTATGATTTATAGAATATTAAAGCTACATCAAAATACCTACCTCACAACAATTGTCAAAAAAGAAAATTAACTTTATAGAGAAATAATTAAGTAACATTAATTCTTTAAGAAAAGGGATAAAGATATCCTTTCTAAAAGTAAAGTAACTTTATGTTTCGCTAAAAAGTGCTAGCTACGAGAAATACTTAGGACGACACATATAAATAAAACATACCTTTTTAGCGGCGTTATATGCCAAATTTGAAATATTTGCTACACACGTACCTTGTTAGCGGTGATATAAAATTTTCTGACTTCAGTTTCACTTTTTCGTTTGCCAAACATTTCTAAAGATGGATATATTTTCTAGAAAATAACACACAGGAACTCATGAACAAGTAGTAGCTTTTAATTCTTACTTGTTAGAATATTAGGTTAAGAATATATTCTAAGAATAAGACGTGTAATAAAATGCTCTTAGAATGTTTACTGACAATAGTTATCGTCTGCTTGTTTACTTTAATACAGCCATGGTTGCCAGATATAAATACTAAAGAAACATCTTTCATTGAATGGTTAAAAAGCACAAATTAAAAAAAAAAAAATCGTCATAACTTTAAAAAATGGGAATTCGATAATGCAAAATTTAAATAATTTCAAGTAGAGCCTTAGTTTCAACATGTTCGTGCCTACTCAAGATTTTCTGAATCTTAAACTTATTAAACCCACAGCCACGTACAAAAATTATATATGATGAATTTAATAAACATATAAAAAGTCATTAGTCAGATATTAAATAACAAATATTTAAATTCAATTAATGTTTAAATTTTAAATTAGTAATGTAAAGATCGTAGCAGAAAGGTTATATATTATAAGAATATTTTAATAATTAATTTTCTAGAATTATATAATATTTTTTAAATAAATACAAATAGAAAATAATGTTTAATCATGTCTTGCGACGACATTGAATGTTTTAATTCAAATACCATTTTTTTTATCTGGCAATAGTTTTTACCGAAACAGCGCTTCTAGTTTCGAAGTAAACTGAGTGTGGTAAACTCTGTTAAAGTTTTGAGTGAGAACATGTTTGTTTTTTTATTTCAAAATCAAAATTTATGTAAACATGGACGTATTGAGAAGTTATTTTCGCTATAAATACGTTCTTGTAGCTTGTATTATTGTGACTGTAGTTGGTATTATTTCACTGGAATATGTGTGTACAGAGTTAGCCTGCCCGTTTAAAAGTTGGACATATTCCCACTTAAGTTCCAGAAATTGGAATTCATTAAATCTGAAGCATGTCGTTGATAATATGGGAAAGCCGGTGTCATTTCTCTCCCATCCTCTTATTACAAGTTCCGATAAATTTGATAAGAGTAAATTGTCTTTTGAAGATATGTTGAAAGAACCAAACTTTGAATTTGATATCGAAGTAAACGACGTTATTGTATTTTTGCATATTCAGAAAACTGGAGGTACTGCATTTGGTCGCCATCTTGTGAAGAATCTAGAACTTGAACAACCATGTTCATGTAAAAAAGGTCGTAAGAAGTGTAAATGTTCCCGGCCACATTCAGAAGACAAATTGTGGTTATTTAGCAGATACTCTACTGGTTGGAAATGTGGTCTTCATGCAGATTGGACAGAACTTACTAATTGTGTTGACAGTGCTATGGATCAGACTGAAAAAGAGTCTTCCAAACGAAGGTATGATGTAAATTTCTGTATAAAATAAAATTGAAATTAAGAACTAGAACAATAAAAATGTAATGCATTGTAAGGGTTAATTATTGTCCTTTGTACCTCTTAAATTCCATCTCACCTTTCTGTTTTTCCATTTAGTGAATTCTTTAAAACCTTTGCATATCTCAACCTTTGTTGTATTCATTAAAGCCCCGTTCACATGCAACGCTCCTTCGCACAGCTGCCATTAGCAAGAGGAGAAAAAGGAGACATGAAAGAGTTTCGCCTTTAGGACCCGTTCAGAAGACCACCGTCTTTCTTCTCTTTACACCGAAGCCTCTGTGAACAATCATGTCTCCGAATTGGCACATTTTTAATACTGTTTACACATTTTTAACATTGTTTACGAAATTACAGATTACAATTTTGTAATCTGTAATTTCGTAACTGGTACCTGTACTTTCGTAATGGTTCCTGAAAAATATATGCTTTTTAATTATTATTATTATTTTATAAGCTGTTATTTAGTTTACTCTTGGTGCTTGTCGCTATGGTTAAAAGATGGTCATGGATTTTTAAACTACTTCCTGATAAGATGTAGAACTCAAACTTACCCAAAATCCAGCACACACTTTCCAAATTTTTTCCCATGATTCAAATTCCCCGCAACCAATTACATAATAATAGGATTTCCATAGCATTCAACTACTCAGATTGTCATAAATGAGACAGCAACTTGGCAATAAATGAAACAACAATTTCGCGATAATAATACAAGGGGTACCCTAAAGTCAACTCTAACCTTAAAAATTTTATAATAAAACCTGTATTCCCCCCCCCATGAGTCACAAGGTTTTAAAAGTTAAAAACACTAAAATGTGAAAAATAATCTTTAGCTCTCATGGCAGTTGGATTAAAATTTCTTGGGCTGTTAACAATGATTTATTTTAAATCAAAATTGTCAAAGAGATTTGAATGAATTTAGTGTAATTAATTGTTCATACATATGTCATTTTGATTCTGTCACTTTTTTTATTTTAAAATTCCATTTCACCTTCAGTATTGAGATAGCTAAGATATATAAGTGTATTTATATGTGTGTGTGTATTGGTTTTTTAGTGCATTTAGTAAAAACCTTGTTAGTAAACAGCAATTTAAATGATTATGTATGTATTATTTTTTATTATTCTTTATTTTAAAACAACATGATAAAACTACATTAAAACATTGTTAAAATCAGAACTTTCTTATGTGGCCGGTCTGCTTCATCAGCTAGATCTGAAAGAATGGTTTGACTGTTGACTGTGATTGGACTGTGGGAAGTTAGTTGCAGCTTTTATCTATAGTTGATGGCTGCTTTAAAACAACTGGCAGTTCAAATTGTCTTGTAGGATTTCTGTAGATTTGTGGTTTCAGCTAATGATGCAAAGCATCTGTAAAAGCTTCATCTTTAATAATGTCTTAACATAATTTTTTAACATGTGAACCAGGGCAATTTTATTTCGCTTTAATTCAGTTTTTAAAGAAGGAAGATTTGTTGCATAAAAATGCAGCTTGCATCAAAATTCATGCCATAAGTTCACTTTTTTTTTTTTTTTTTTAGCAAAAGGAAAAAAAATTAACTCAAAATTTCTAGTTTAAATGCTATGTAATTGCTTTATTATTCAATATTTCATGCTGCAAACAGTCAATGTATCCAGCACTGGAAATAAAATTTTGTGAGCAAATGATTACGCATTCACTTTTGCTTTGAGCATATCTGCATTTGTGGAAATAATTTCACTGTGTATAGCATCTTTTAATTGACTTAGGAATGACAGATTGCTGGTATACACCCAAGGATCAGATAGCCCCAACCAAAAATCTAAAGCCATCAAGTCTCTAACTGAAGAGGCAAGGCAGCATAGCATAAACAACTACAGTCAAAAGTCATTAATTCGGACACCAAAATTCCGGAATGATCTATAATCCGGACCTCAAAGCTAAAAACTTTCGGTACTTTTCTGTTTCGCTGGCGCAAATCTCGCCAAGCAGACTTTATTGGCGACATCATACAGTATACACATAAAAAAATATTAAAAAAATGTTAGTTCTAAAAATTCTTTTTTTTTTTTAAGGCATAAACATTTTAATATCGCTTAAAATTTTACAAAAAGCCAATAAATAAAGACAATAAATTTGTAAAAGACATTAATTTAAGAATTTATATGCTTTCATGGTTCAACATCCTGTTTCGCCGGTTCATATCACGTGACCCCAAGCGATATCATCGCACGTAAACTACTCTACAAAAATATAATGCTCTCAGTAATTATCTACATTAATTTCAAGTTAAATTTTAATTTGGAACACAAGTTTAAATGCAAGAAATACTTCAATTCGTACGAATAGCTTACTCAGAAATTATGTAAAACTGCAGTGCTTTACTTCGCTAATGCATTCTCATTAGAATTGATGAATTAAAACCCTTGACTTTACGTTTTCTATATTTTCGGCTTCGGGTAAGCGCTGTGATTGCATCTTAATTGATTTAATTACCGAAAATGGCCTTAGACATAAAACTGAACTATCTGAATGAGGCGTAAAAGGTTACCAGTGAGAATATTCGTTTGGCATCAATTGTACCATTATTGGCGACTTTATCGCTTGCCCCGGCAAAACGGAAAAGTACCAAACTTTCTGCGCATGCGCCACGTTGACACATGCGCATAGGCGTTTACGTGTGCACGTAAGACCTTTACGACCGCGCATATGCATGTGCACAAGTGCAGAATACGTTTTCGCGTGCGCGTTTAATGTATAACGGATGCTATAAGCTAAAATGATCTATTTCAGTTAATGTTGATAATTGTGTTGTTCCTTAATCTTCGAACTGGATCTGCCTTATTACTTTTTTCAGACTGTAAGAGCAATTTTATAAAAGTAAACTTGAACTTTCGATTATGTCAAATAGAATTTCCGATGCTAGAGCTTCCAAAGGATCTACAAAACGAAAGTATGTTTCGATGTCCATCAAACAAAAAGTGGAATTGCTGCAAGAAATGGATAAAGATATGAAGAAGGTGACAGAGAGGTTAGTGAAAACGAAAAAATTTCGATTGACAAGTTAGTCGGTATTCTCGGCACAGCAATTACGGGACTTGAACAGCGGAACTTTGTAACTGAACAAGAAATTATGTCAGTTTATAGAATTAAAGAGAAAGTATTATCACATAAAACGAAGCAACTTAAATAACTTACATTGAAAGAAATGTTTATAAAGTAAACAAATAAATATTAAGCTTTTTTTTTTTTTTTTTTTTTTTTTTTTTTTTTTTTTGTAAATTTTGATACCCTTTAGATCATAATTGTTCTTTATTTCATAAATTACAGTTTCATATTTTTAATTTTAGAATTTCTGCATGTCATTTTACCAGATTTAAACTGATGATCTATAATCCGGAATCGCCGAAGTCCCGACGAGTCAGGATTAATGACTTTTGACTGTAATCAGTTTCTCAGAACATCAATTTCTCAAGTGCTGTTATGTGAAAATGCATCACGGGATTTATTACGTGAAGGGGTGCACCATCTTGCATATTCATTTCAGCAAATGTGATATCATAGTCTCCTGTAGCATTTTCAATTGTATTTGTTAACACTTCCACACAGTAAAATGTATGCTTCATATTAGCAAATAATGTTTACAATCACTTGTGTATCCATGTATCAGAAATTGTTTTCACTGTGCAGTAGTGAATTCCTCTCACTTACATGGATATTACTTAGTTGCACTGATTGCAACTTTCAGAAATAAAATTGCAGCACTACGTTCGCGATTCACAGCTCATAAATTTGATAGATTTGTTCTTCCTGTTTTCCAGACTCTGCTAAAACCACTTGTTGAATGTGCTTCTAGAGTCTCTATCCTTACTGACACACAGTTTACGTAGGAATCAACCAACAAAAGTCTGCTATGTAATCTTTGGCTTGCTGCAGGTTTTTCAGCACTGTCACAGTTATTGGCCCTTATCTGCTTCTGTATATGAAATTATCATAAAGCTAGAACAGCTAATTCTCCACTGTACCATTAGTGGTTCACATACTCCATACCATGTGTAAGGTGTATATGAACCACTTTCAGTCATAGTGGGCTTTGTCATAATCAAATTAATCAAATCAACTCCGTTGAAGTAAAACAAGTATATCAGTAATACCAACCTCGATTTTTAGTGAGTCATCATTAAAGTCCATAAACATAAGTCGTTTCTTAAAATTGAAATTTTGTAGGTGAGCAACTTTCCATGCCTGTGCTTCCAATGTGCAGTTCCATCTATCAGTGACAATTTTAATTTATATAATTTAACTTGAAAATATTCCAGTTAATTACAAGAAATTTGGTGCAAATCACACAGAGAGCAACTTACTGATTTTATATGAATATCTAAAATTTGTAGGACTTTTGGTGTACCCGGCATCAAATTTTGGTGCACTTAAGTTAAAAAATTCTATATAACATACAGAATTTTGTAACTCAAGCTGTCTTATTATTTTCCATTGGAGCTCAAGTAATTTTTTATTCTAGATACTCAAGTTCAGTAAAATCAATGTTAACTGTAAATATGTTCTTGATTTATGTGCTTAAATTAATGATGGATTAGTTAAATTTTGCACTTTTTATATTCTAGGTACTTTTATATCACATTATTACGAGAGCCAGTTTCTCGTTTTCTCAGCGAATACAAGCATGTGCAGAGGGGAGCCACTTGGAAGACGGCTCGTCATTTGTGCGGTGGTCGAACTCCGACAAAAGAAGAGTTACCACCGTGTTTTGATGGAAAAGATTGGAGTGATGTAACACTACAGGAATTTATGAATTGTAAATCAAACTTAGCAATGAACCGTCAGACCAGAATGTTGAGTGATTTGACACTAGTAGGTTGTTACAACCACTCTGTAATGACCCAAAGGCAACGAGAGATCATTATGCTTGCCAGTGCCAAACAGAATTTACAACGAATGGCATTTTTTGGTCTCTGTGAGTATCAAAAAATTTCACAGTATTTGTTTGAAAATACATTTCACTTGAAGTTTTTACAACCATTTCAGCAACTAAATGAGACACGAAGTAGTATGACGATGAGCGAGATAAGTACTGAAGATCTGAAAAAGATCCAAGATTTGAATAAGCTAGATATAGCACTTTATAATTTTGCAAAAGCTCTATTAATGGAAAGGTATAAGCGTTTAAAAAATTCAAAACCTAACTTAGAAAATGAAATAATTGATCAGATATTTGATTCTGAAGTTTAATATGAGTTTTTATTATTATTATTTATTTAAGGAAGCCAGAGAACTCATGTGAAAACATCATCTCTTTCTTTTTTTCAATTTGACTTATTCATAATAAATATACATATTTATTATAAAAACATGTTCAAAACTAACACATGTGGTCTTGCATTATCTTGATGGAAACCTTTTTGCACCTGAATTCAGTTCAATGTTTTTCCTTGACTAGCAGCGTCAATCTGAACACCTGGATCGTATGGCAGTCCCACCAGATACAAAGCATGTTCTTTTTGTTATTCAAATTATGCTTTGTGACACTGCTGATGGGCTCACCGGGTCGAGACCATCCCTCGTTTTGGCCTGTGTTGGTGAAGTAAATCCACTTTTCATCACAAGTGACAATCCAGTGCAGAATTTTATCCTCGCATTGATATTCAAGCAGATTAGTGCAGGCCCGAACATGCTTGAATCAGCTTATGCAGCATCCAGTTATTGAATTTGTTAATGCGATGCATAGTGCAACTAATGGACATGGCACTAATGTCTAACTCCTCAGCAAGCTCTCGAGTGATTGCATACTGATCTCCTTCCACAAGTTCTTGCAGTCAGGCCTCATCAACATAAGTAGGCTGGTCACAGTGCTCTGCTTCTTGAATCTTATAGTCCTTGTTTTGAACCTTCTACATTCTGTAGCTGCCTTTTTGTAACAGAAGTGGAAATGATGGTTCTTATCTGGTAGTGTGGTAATTCTATTTCAGACACCTTGTACTTAATGATAACGATATTTTTTTATAAATTTCACAACACGGTGTTCTAAAGCAAGTCTCTTTCAAATGCCAAAAATCATTTGACAAAATATGAATAAACATGCCAGTTCAAACTGTTTGCGCAGATGATATTTGTCGTAGCAGAAAACTTTCATTAAAATCTGATACAACCTTTTATTTTGTTACACTTTTGTTCTTAAATTTTTATTGTTTTTGTTTGCTTGTTAGTTTTTTATTGATGTTAATTCATAATTCCCTTGTATCCTTTCTTCATTTTTAATTCGTAAATTATTTCTGAAATCAATAATTTGTGTTTGTACGTATATCTGTAGACATTCTGTAAACTTGCATATTCTACTTTGAAAAGACCAAAAGCAAGTTGTTTTCGAATTCAACTGATTATTAATTATCATTTTGGGGTTGCATTAGTTAGAAGTCATTTATTTGATTTTCAATTTAATGAATGTTAAGTTTCAATCTAAATTAATTCTGCATTTACTTAAATTTAACAATCATTTTATGAAAATCATTACATTCACTATATAATTTACAAAATTCAATTCAAATAATTTTAAAGTTTTAGTCACAAAATCAGTATGAATGGTTTTTTTGTTTTCCTTGAACTGGAAAATGGAAACACAGTAAATATTTTTCCATTAAAGGCATACCATACATTTGCAGCATTATATTAGTGCCTATATATATTGCACTATATTTGCAGCACTATATATATTGACTTATTTCTTTCTTCATAGTTTTGGCTGGATACTTAACAAAATGGAATGATTAATAACAATATATATATTGCACTATATTTGCAGCACTATATATATTGACTTATTTCTTTCTTCATAGTTTTGGCTGGATACTTAACAAAATGGAATGATTAATAACAATAACAAATAAACATTTTCTAATGTTATAACAAAATCTTCTAAAAATCCATTGTGGGAAAAAGAACTACCCAAATCCAGTATAGTGGTGACTGCCCTACCGATAGGCCTGGAATTAAATCTTGGAGAAGGTGTAGATGTTTGTAAGCAAGTAGTATCTGTGAGGTAAGGGACAATTAAAATGCACAGTCAACTTATAAGTCTTCTCAAGAGGTTAGTGTCAAGAGAAAAGGGGTGGGAGACTCTTGGATTACTCCCAGGGATGTTATCCTTTAAAACAGGGGTGGAAGCTTAAGAGTTAGGGAGCTCTGGAGTAATTACCGTATTTGACAGCATATAAGACACTTTTTTTCTTAAATTTGGTCTCAAAAAAGTTACCTGCGTCTTATAGGTGAAGGACATAGGTTAACTTTCAATACTGAATGCTATTTTTAGCCCGAATAAAGATCTAGACACACATAACTTTTTCTACATGTGTGTGGCCTAAATAAGGGTGTGTCTTATATGCCATCAAATATGGTATATACCTACAGAAAATGCACATACCTTGCTTCAACTTGTATGTATTGTGGAAAAGCATGGCTTATGTTACTTTTTTCTTTTTGTGAGTAAACTTTCATTAGTGTGCAAAATTTTGTGGCATCTGTTGGTTTTAATGTATGGATGATATTAGGTTGATTTTAACGCAAAACAGTTTAAGGATTATCTGCCTCTGAATTGGGATGCCTTGTGAAAGACTTTTAAAAAGAAACTGTTGTATTGATTCTCGTTATGCATGAGGAAATTCATGAAAACTCGTTGTACCCAGCTCATTTGCTGGGATTTGAACTTGGGTCTAATTAGGACTGTTCTGTGATTTTATCCATTGACCATTGGTTAGCCAATAATAGGGGCGAGATAACAAGGAATTGGCACATACCACTCTTGTGTTATTATTCCAATCAACTGTTGTGTTATGATTAATTTGAAGCAAGCTCAGTAAATGCTAATTCAAGTCATTGTAAGTAAATGAATTGTACAGGAGTAGCAAAAGGAATAAATGATAATCTTCTTGAAAAGTAACTGGGTAACTGATATGGCTTTAATATAAATGTACCATGGTTTTAACCAGTTGATAAATTAATTTAAAGGACTGTAAATGATTTGTGTATGATCTGATCCATAGTTGGATTAGCCTACACAGAAAAGCCTCTAATGAAAAGTATAGGCTTAATATTCTTTCCTTAGCCACGACAAACGCTTCTTTTTAAAGGTATTTTTGCTTTGTATAGCAAGTATAATTTTAGCTTGGATTATAAAATGTAAAAGCAATTCAACTTGGTTATTTTTAAAAGTATATATATTTTTTTTTACTGAAGTACTATAAGATGATTAGGCTTTTAATCCAAAATTTTGCAGTATCTAAATGTCTTTTGATGATAAAAGGTACAGTTAATATGTACATGCACGAATATGTAATATTAAATTATTCTTTTCTACAGTCAGTTTGTTCTAAAGCTCACCAGTTTTAATTTTTATTAATAATTAGCTGTTACCCAGCATATGTTGCTGTGCTACATAAAGAAAGTGTTTGAGTTTTAATTCTATTTATTGAAATGTATTTATAAAATGACAGTATTTTTTCATTTTTCCATCTGTTGCAAACACGAATAAATCAGGTTTCCCAATGTTTGAGCAGGCCACATACAGCTACCCATGTGAAAAGTGTGCGTTTTCCAAATTTAGTCCACAAACTTCTAGTGATTGTCCTTGTACTCTGTTTATGGTCATTGCAAATGAGAGTTGCCCAGGAAACTGCAAACATTTAAATTCGAATAGCATATCTGTCGGAATCCTTGGGATATGCAACTGTTGGCATGTGTTACAGTGCTATTTAAAGGAAAGAAAGTGTTTGTGTTAAATTCTGTGTATTAAAGTGCTTTTGGATATACAGTCAAAAGTCGTTAATTCGGACCTCAAAGCTACAAACTTTCTGCGCATGCGCTTAAGACCTTTACGAATGTGCGTTTAATGTATAACGGACGGTATAAGCTAAGCTAAAATTATCTAATTCAGTTAATGTTGCAGATTACGTTGTTCCTTAATCTTCGAATTGGATTCGGCTTATTATTTTTTTGCAGACTGTTAGAGCAATTTTATAAAAGTAAGCTTGAACATTCGATTATGTCAAATAGAATTTCTGATATATATTTACTAATACGTAAAGGATCTACAAAGCAAAAGTATGTTTCGAAGTCCATTAAACAAAAAGTGGAATTGCTGCAAAAAACGGATAAAAGCATATCCTTTGTTTATCTAAACTTTAACGTTTGTTTATCTAAACTTTATCTTTAACGCCACAGCGTGGCGAGCAATGAATTGGAAGTTGATCTGTCAGCACTATTCTTATCTTCAGGGCAGATGTTTTTATTTTATTTGGCTAATAATTCCTTACTAAATATAGTATTTCATCTCGATGTACTCCATCTTTGATATGATTTAAATCAAATTCCTTGTCATTATAAGTAGGTTATTGAAAACGAAAGAATTTCGATTGACAAATTAGTCGGTATTCTCGACACAGCAATTCTAGGACTTGAACAGCGGAACTTTGTAACTGAACAAGAAATTATGTCTGTTTATAGAATTAAAGAGAATGTATTATCACATAAAAAACGAAGCAACATAAACAACTTACATTAAAAGAAATGTTTAATAAAGTAAACAAATAAATATTAAGCTTTTTTTTTTTTGTAAATTTTGATACCCTTTAGATCATAATTGTTCTTTATTTCATAAATTATGGTTTCATATTTTAATTTTATAATTTCTGCATGCCATCTTACCAGATTTAAACTAATGATCTATAATCCGGAATCACCTAAGTCCCGACGAGTCCGGACTAACAACTTTTGACTGTACAATATTTTTGGTTTTCCATGTGGTGTGGCTAGTTATACTATTCCATCTGTACAGCACATTCCTGGTGCTTCACTCTTAAATTTGAGGGCTCTGCAATATATGATTAATTTCATAAATTTTTCCAACAGCCACACTTAGACAAAGACTGTAATCATAATTAGCTTTATAATGGAATACACCTAGCTTTAAATCAGCAAGCATGTAGATCAAGCAGTGCATACTTGAACATTTTCCAGTCTTACTTCCTATTGCTCGTTTGTTTTTGAAGCTTGTGTTGCCTTTTTCTTTCGTGCTTAAGGTGTAAATCAAGCAGTCAGCTTTCGTTTTTGTTGAATAACTCATTTCACAGTGAAAGTAATGCTTTTTGACAGCTATTACGAGTTCAATTTCAAAAAGCAAACAAATGAATATGATGCGACAACATGCATGTTAAGGCATGAAAAAAATAAATATTTTGTGCTTTGCTGAATTATAACACACTTTAATTTGGACGTTGGCAACATATTTCTCTTAAATAGACGAGTTTGTTTATTAAATTCGAGACTAATTTTTTTTACATCGCCAAGTTTTCTGATTAAATTTGAACCATGTATATATCTTATGGTTTGCAGAGTCAAAGCTTTCAGATTCCGAATTTTTAATCAGAAGTTTGTTGCAGAAAAATAGAGTTGAGTTGCTAGAGAAATTTTGCAAGTCTACCTTTCCCATATTTTCATCTGCATTCAAAATGTTCAAATTTTTATTTAACATTCAAGATTGTTTTATGACTAGCAACAATAACCATTTTAAAAAAGGAGAAATATTTGAATTTTTTAATATTTTCTAAAATTTTCATTTCAAAAAAAGTTTTTATGGTTTACTTTTTTAAAAAAATATCACACTATAATCTAATATGGTCTCATAACATAAATAATCATACAAGTTTAAAAAAATTTTTGGAGATGGGAGAGAGTGTTATAAAAACATAATTGAAAATTGAGGCGATTGTGAATAATTATACCAAATGGAATAATAAAATTAGTTTATTTTAAAAATTTAATAAACTGCATAAAAATTGTAGATACCTCTTTGACAGAATATTCTTAAATGACAATTTGCATGCATTGAAACATAAATTTTATTGTTAATCATTTTCAACAATTCTATCATAACATCAATCTCAGATTTATGGATCTCATATTTTTATCAGTAGCCTCTTAAGCCTTTGAGTATTATGACCATTTATTTTACCAGTCATTAGATTTGTTACTTGAATGTATTACCTTGTTATTTCAAATGATTTCTTCCTTATTTTCTTTAAGAATTAAACAGTATAAAATAATCATATAAATCTAGTAAATAAATTCCATTTAATCAAAAATAAAAGGCTTAAAATGGTTGCTTTCATATTTTAGTACATAATTGGAGTTTTACTATATTATCTTTGCACTTCAGTGTCAGAATTTGTTTCTCGAGAATGAACTATTTAGTGTTCTAATTCATGTACATATATAACAAAATGCAATTTTCAGACTCTTTTACATAAGCTCTCATCAGTGTAGGAAAATTGTATTGTTGCATTAATGACAGTTTTGGGTCCGAAGTTCTTCACTGGGTAGGTAGCTGACCAAAATATGAATTTTGTATACAGAGATATCAAATAAGTAAAAAAAAAAAAAAAAAAGTTACATTTTTGTAATAAAACTTACTGCAAATATATTTATGTAATTATTTTTATGTATTTTTTCTATTTATTCATGCAGGCTGTGAAGTGTTTGTATAATGTATTCTATTAATAAAATTAATTTCATATTAAAAGAAATATTTTGTGATAGTCTTTTACAGAAATAATTTATTACGATGTTAATTTTTATTATTAATGTGTCAATAAATATTTGTAAATGTTGTAGTAGTTATTTTGAATCAATAAATTTTTCTAAGAAGAACACTTGTTGACATTGGAAACATTTTAGCAATTTTTCCAGAGTGAGCAGTACACCTCTCTGTGATAGTCATTTGTAGCTCGGAGCCCTCAAGGATTACTGTGTGCCTTACAAGTTAATAATACTACATTTAAAACCATCCCCAGAAGGAAGTTATAACCCATCAAAAATGCTGCTAGCTCTATACGCATTTCCATCAAACTAGTCAACTTGTTTCCTCAAAACAATAATCCTCACTTTGCATAACCAACTTACCCTACGATTGAAGATATCTTGGGAACAATGATACTTATTAAAAAACGAAAATAAGCAAAAGTTTGCACTTGCAAAGCTCTATCATTTAAAAAAAATTTTTTTTTTTTTTTCGTTTTGCCTATAACAGAATCGAAGTTAGCATTCCTAATGTTAAAAAATGTAACATTTGATCGAAGATATTTTCGAATCTGTTATAGTTAGAAGCAAATTAGAGTAGCCAAAATGTTGCATTTGAAGAGCTCTTTCATTTGCAAAAAGAATTTTCATTATACCTATACTAGAATGGAACGGTACACCTTTGATCGAAGATATCTCGGGCACTGTGATACTTAATAAAAAAAAAATTGATTATGCCTATAATAAAAGTTCCATTGGTGAACCGTCTACGTTGTACATATGATCAAGCATAACTCGTGATCTATTAAAAACCAAGAATAGCTAAAAGTTTGCAATTGAAGAGATCTTTCATTTGCATATATAATTTCTATTGTACCTATAATAGAAAGCAAACTAGTTGATATACCACTTACATTGTACGTATATAAACCAAAAGTAGTGATCTAATGAAGTTAGACTTATGAATTACGTGCAAATGTCTGCTCTTAAATAGATGTAGTTAGAAAGAAAGAAGGATACACTTGAGCAAACATATTTACTATTAAAAGTATACAGGATACCATAGCAGCTTACCTATCCAATCTTATTCAAATGATCATGTACTGTACTAATTGGAATATTTCGACTGTCCTAAATTGCCTAACTTGGATTATCAGCAATATTTCTTTAAACAGATCCTTGTATACAGAGGATGCAGGGTCCAGAGTGCCATCATCTTCAAGCTCGGAATCACCACGCTTAAGTTCTCAAACAACACTTTGTCGTATAAAGAACAAATTTTACAAGCAGTCCAACTAGCATTTTTTCTTTTTTAAAATAAGACAGCATAATATGACGAAAATAATTTTGGGATTCTCCATTCTTATCATTGTATTGAAATAAATGTTACAACTCATGATAGAGTTATGGTATATGAGCAGAAAGATCGTATTTAAACTACTGTTTCAATCAACCAGACTCCTTGTCTGAAGTAACAAAATCTTTAGAAGAAAACAGTTTTGATTTAAAAAACTGAGCATAACTTGGTCCACACAAACCAGTTAACTTTAAAAAGTAATTCACAGAGCTTCCTCATAAACAAATAGCCCTCAAGAATTAACTCAAAACTTTATATTTGTTGCATATTACAAAACAGGCAGTTGAGATTTTTTAAATGTTCCACCTATGCTGAAATTTAATTGTTCGCTATTTACAGCAACAAAAGACTTATCGCAAGGAATTTTTTAAACCTTTACATTAACCTTAATACAAAATCAGTTTCATAGAAATATTCTTAATGAAAGGAATCTTTACGTCCTAAGAAAATATCCATTATGCTTTCAGCTTAACTCTTTGATGGTTATGAACACGTTGAGCTCGCAATCGAATCGTGCTTCATAATGCGCACAAACGAGTTCCTCTCGGGAGCAAGATTTCGAACGAAATGGTTTAAAATGAGCACTACGCGTAGTGAAATTTTCTTCCAATGCGCACTGACGAGCTGAGCTCGTTTGCCATTATTATTCTGCATTGATTATGTTACAAAGGAATCTTACTCGCGAAATTCAATTAGTTTTACTGTCTACAGATGGCAGTATGGGTTCCATGAATTTCTTTTCATAATGAAGGGGGAATTTCTTTTTTACCTTGTTCTTTTTTACCTTGTTCTTTTTGTGCGTATTTTGGCACATTTTTTAGAGTGTTTGTAAAGTAAAATGGCTCAAAAGCGAAAGTTAGATATGATTGTGATACGGAAAGCTTATCAAGTTTTGAGTCTGATGAAGACTTTGCTCACAGTATTATCAAGCTCAGAAGACGATTCAAGCGATGAGGAAGATTTTCCGAATGTTCGACTGTGGTGTAAAATTGATTCAAGTTCTCATGCTCCTAGTCAATTTAGTTTTACTGGCGATGGGGGCATGAAAGCTTGCGTGACAAATATTTCTGATCCACTAGTGTACTTTTTTACTGTTTTTTACTGATGAGATTGTAAATCATATTGTTACTGAAACCAAAATTTTTGCTGCTGAAAATTTAAATAAATTTAACAGTAAAGAACATTCCCGAACTCATCATTGGAGTGAAACTAATGCGAATGAATTCAGAGTATTTCTTGCAACATTAATTTTGCAAGGAATAATCACTAAACCAACTGTAAGAATGTATTGGTCAAAAAGAAAGTTAATTGAAACTCCTAGTTTTTCTAACCTCACGAGTTCGAGAAGGTTTGACCTTATTATGCAATTTATTCATTTTGATAGGAATAAAAACACTGCTTCTTCTCATCCTCAGCCAAAACTTTAAAAAAAAAAATATGTACCATTTTAAATTACTTACAGAAAAAAATTTTGAAATTTTATACACCTGAACAAGACATATGTATTGATGAAAGTCTATTGCTGTATAAAGGGAGACTTTCTTGGATAATGGATATGTGTGGTCTATTATAATTTATGTTGATAAAGGCACAAATATATCTGAAAAAAATAAAAGAATGTTTGTTTTCTAATCAGGTAGTTTTTCACATTGTCTAAGCCGCTATTAAACAAAGAATACTGCCTTACTATGGATAATTACTACAACTCTACCGAGTTAGGGGAAATGCTATTGAAATCTAAAACTGATTTTTTTGGAACATTAAGAACGGAAAAGATCTACCAAAGGAACTGAGAAAAGCTTAAAAATAGAGACTTACTTGCCTATCAAAGAGGTAAGATGATGATCATGCGATGGAAAGACAAAAAATATGTTAATTTTATAAGCTCAATTCATAATCCTGAAATCGTAAAAGTTCCAAATAAATTGAAAAATGTGGAAATAGGAAAGCCTTAGATTATAATAATACGATGGGCAGTGTAGATCGCATTGATCAGCAAATTAGATACTATCACGTAACTCGATCTTGTCAAAGGAAATATTTCGCTATTTATTGAACATAACAATTTTTAATGCTTTTCAAGCTGTGAAAAAAAAAGGGGGAATAGAAAATCAATTTTGAAATTCAGAACTGAACTAGCTGAAAGAATTGTTGAAAAATATCACACTCACAGACATTTGAAATCAAAACCTGCTGAAACAGATTCAGCACGCCTTTCCTGATTATATTCCACCTGCAGAAAAAAAGAACCTACTAGACAATATGTGGTATGTTGCAGCAAAAATGATGCCAATGGAAAAAGAATTAGCCGTGAAACACATACTTACTGCAAAGACTGTAATGCCCCATTATGTGCAATTCCATGTTTTAAAGTATATCACACACAAGAAGATTTTTAGGTAATTACTGTATTTAATTGCTTCATAAAGTTTTACAATAGTTGTATTTATTTAGTCCTGTCAATTTAACATTTGTCTTACATTTATAATTAACTATTATTTATATAATTGATTACAATCATTTATAATTTACTATTTAATAATTATCATTTATTAATTATGTTAAGTATGTAAAAACTGTTATTTATGTACTACAAATACTTTAAGAAATTTTTTTAATTCATGAGGCGAGCTATACGGCATCGCCAGAGAAGGGTGACATTTTTGGAAGAACAGCGGGGGAAAACAGCAGCCACTTTCGACTACTGCTCGCTTGTAATACTGCACAAATTACGAAAACGAAAACTGCTAATTTCCCTAACCGTCAAAGGGTTAACAGTTAAAAATGCGTTTAAATGTGAAATTCTTTCATGTCCAATTATTAGATTTCTCTTGGAAAAAGGATATGTTGAGTTTCAGCTTTCATTCTGTCCAACAGATATAGACTAGCAAAAACCTTTTTATTAAAACTGAAATTACGAGTGACAATGATAAGTACTTAAAACTGGAAAGTAGTAAATCAGTATTTAAGGCTAGGTCCTTAAATACTGATCACTGTCAGAACCTTCATCATCACTAATGAAGCGTCTAGTTTGTCTTGGTTTTCTTTTGCGTGTTTTTTCTTCTGGCTCTTCATACATATCACTATCACCTTCATAATCACCACCTGCAAAAGACAGATCTCCATCTTTCTCTAATCTCTCTCTTGCACTTGTAAACACAGATTGTAAAACAATTGAATCTTCATAAATAAGTGAACCTTCAACATTATAATTTTGGGCATTTTTGCAAAGCAACATGAAATCAGCTTCCAAATCATCCAAAGAACGATATCTATGTTCTTTAATGCGGTTTTTAATTTTCTGCAGATCTACTGGTTTCTTTATGACTTCATAATAATCTGGTAATTCACGTTTAGATGGCAGTTGCATAAATGCTTGACTAAGAACACGTCCATCACTGTCTTTATAGTGGATCACAATATCTAAAAGTTTTTTCATCTGTACTGTCAAACGAGGAGGATTAGGCTGCATCTTTTCCATAGGTGGCCTGCCACGTCTTTTCTTTTTACATTCAGGCTCTACATCCGGATCTATATCTTTTTCCTTCTTTCTTTTCTTGCCTGAAGATGTGCCAGGTGTTGTTCTCTTCTTCTTAGTTTCAAGTTCTTCCAAATTACCTTCTTCAATAGCTTTCAACCATTGCTTGTCAGTAAGAGAATCAGAATAGTCTACTTCTTTTCTTTGACGAGAGCCACGACCAAATAATTTATCCTCCTCTTCTTCATTAGTCAATCTTTCAACTTCAGCATCATCTTTTATCAACCAAGCAGGAAGTTCGTCTTCTTCCATCAAACGAGGTTTACGTTTAGGATTCTGCGCTTCTTCTCTTCTACGAGCTATATCCATTTTTTGAAATAATTCAAACTCGTCTTCATTTCTAGCAATCATCTGATTAATAGTTTCATCATCTGGAACTTCATTTTCTTCTTCCTCATCAACTTCATCTTGCGCAAGAATGGCTTGTAAAAATTGATGACGATCAGTACCAGTAGATTTCTGATCAAACATACCTGCCTGGATAACTTTTTCATCTAAATTCAATTTATATTTGGCAGCAGCAAGAATACGTTCTTCCACAGAATTGACAGTTACTAATCTGAGAACTCTGACTTCATTTTGTTGCCCAATACGATGAGCTCTATCTTGAGCTTGCAAATCTTGATGAGGATTCCAATCAGAATCAAAAATAATAACAGTATCTGCGGCCTGCAAATTCAGACCAAGACCACCAGCTCGGGTACTTAATAAAAAGAGAAAATATGGTGAATTTGGGTCATTGAAAAGCTCCAAAAGGTGCCCTCGGTCTTCTGCTTTAGTAGTGCCATCGAGCCTGAGATAAGGATGCCCCCTATAACCTAAATAATCTTCCATTATTGTCATTAGTGTAGTCATCTGACAAAACAGTAAAATACGATGCCCAGTTTTGTTCAATTTAGGCAAAATACGATCAAGCAATTCAAATTTCCCAGATGCTCTGTATAAATCAGGTCCAGAAATCATTGGATTAGATAAGCCAAGGTGTTCAGCATATGCTTCTTCTATATTTTGAAACATAAATGGATGATTGCAAATTTTACGTAATTGCATAATAGAATTCATTAACGTTTTTGCTCCACCTTTACCTTTTTTATCTTTCTCTGAACCATCTGTCAAAAGAACTCCTTTTGTTTGCATATGTCTATATAATAAACGCTGCAAGGCAGACATGTCACATTTTACAACATATTCAACTTTCTCAGGAAGTTGGGATTCAACTTCTTTCTTAAGACGTCTTAACAAAAATGGTCGCAATACTTTATGCAAACGCCGAATAATCAAAATGGTTTCTTCTTCATTCAATTCAACTTTTTCACCAGTAGTAGCAAAAGGAGCATTAAACCATTGTTCAAAAGTGTTGCAACACTTGAAAATGCTTGGCAGCAAAAAGTTAAGAAGAGCCCATAATTCAGGAAGTTTATTCTGAAGTGGTGTTCCAGTAAGTAACAAACGATGTGGAGCAGTATAGTGAGTATTCAGAATTTGAGTTAGCTTGCAGTGCTGGTTTTTCATCCTGTGTCCTTCATCAATGATCATATATTTCCAGCGAACTTTAGCAAGAATAGCTTTATCTTTTATTACATACTCATATGTGGTCAGCACAACATTAAATTTTGTAGCTTTCAAACTTGTTGCAATCTGACGCCTTACATTAGGAGAACCTTTGTATGCATACTTAATCACAGATGGGGCCCAACGATCAAACTCTAGCATCCAATTGGACAATGTAGATAAAGGTACAATGATGAGATAAGGACCATGTACTCTTTTCTTTTCAATTAAATATGTAATTAAAGCAATTGTTTGTATAGTTTTACCCAAACCCATTTCATCAGCTAAAATTCCGTTTAAATTATTATTATACAAAGACACAAGCCATTCCAAGCCTTTAATTTGATATTCTTTCAATTTACCATTAACCATAACAGATGCTTGCTCTTTAACCTCTTCACCAATTGCATGAGCAATGTTATAATAATTTTGATATCCACCCATGTTCATATATTCATCATCTTCAGCAGTTGCTGAATTCAGAGCTTGTTTAGCGTCTTCTCCAGTTCTTTCTATTGTAGTTTTGGGTGGTTTTGGCTGTTCGTCTTCTTCTTCAGAATCTGATGAATCATCATCACCTTCCTCATCATCATCACTTGCTTCTCGAGGTGCAACTTCATATCCTGGATGCATTTCTAACCATGCTTCAAGCTGACTTGCTAGAGGAGCATTTGCACCTGTCAGTGTTTTGCCAGTAGCTGTCTCAATGACATTTACTCTGAGGTCACTCTGCTGAGAACATTCATCTAATAAACCTTCTTGAAGAGAATCATTACCATCTGGATTTTCACCTTGTTGCTGCTTCTTTTTCTTTTTCTTCTTTGCCTTTCTCTTTTCTTTCAGTTTTCTCTTTTGTTCTAACTTATGCTGTTTGACCATATCAGTTAAATTATGTATATACTCATCTGTTTGAGAAAGTAGAAATGCAAGACGTTTATCCTTCTTTTGATCAATAAGTTTACGGTAACCTTCTTCATCTTCTGCCATTAGACGTTTCATTCTCTCTTTATCAATTCTTTCTTGTTCTTTCTTTTGCTCACGTTCAGTATTAGCATGATAAGTAATTACAGCTTTGTTAACTTTGCCAATTTTACCCATCATGTTTCGATGATACTCCTTGAAATCTTTAGCATGCTGTAATACAGCATTTAAATATTCTTGATGCTTCTGTCTTCTTTTCCGTTCTTGCTCTAATTTCTGTTGTTTCTCTAATTTTTCTGTAATCCTTGCTTCTCTTAATCCTTGTCGTTTTACACGCTTGTATAATTTAGGATACAATGCAGTTTCTAAATTAGAGTCTCGTCGCATACAACTAACAACTTCCGCTCTTATTTGTCTTTGAAAATTCAATAATCGCAAGCCAATTAATTCACTCATAGCTTTGGTACGAATATCTTCAGAAAGGTCACCAGGTAATGCTGATAATTCTTGTATGCGGTGAGCAATTCTGGCTGCTAATCTATTTTCTCTTTCCTTAAGAATTTCGATAGGATCTAGACCCTGAGGTTTTGCAACTGGAGTAATGCGGTTCTGCTTTTGTTGCTGCAGCTGCATCATAGCAGGAATAGGCACAGGCTGAGAATTGGTTGGTCCTTGTGGACGATTTTGAGGACCTTGCATTGCCATAGCTGATGCAGGTGGTGGAACATTTCCCATCTGAGGGTGCTGAGACGGAATCTGGGCTGGAGCTGCTTGCTGAGATTGTGGTGGTGGCATTGAAGACTGAGGCATATGGGGATGCATGGGCTGTGAAGGTGGCATCTGTTGAGGCATCATTCCACTACTCATATTTTGGGGCTGTGGCTGAGAATGTGGGCCTGGTCCTCGAATAGGTTGAACAGGGGAGGGTGCACCGGGAGGCCTTTGGGAATACACAGGCTGATTCTGCATTGATCTTTTACCTTGAAGTGCCATAATGATACTATCTGGAACAGGCTGATTTCGATAAAAGTCTATATGCCATAATTTGAGCTCTCAGCTGAGATATTTGGGCTTGAGTCAAAAGAGAAGGTTTTTGGTTTGGAGCAACTGAGGGTTGATTTGGCATTGGACTGCACACTGATGGTGGAACTGAGTTACTGTCAGGGTGAGGAGATCCTTGTGAACCATTCATTGGACCTGGTCCATAGCCAGAATGTGAATGATGAGGTTGTTCATTCACTTCCATATCTTGAGGCAAAGGATTTGGTCCAGGTCCCATATGTCCTTGCCCACCGGGTGCAGAATGGGAAGCAGACTGATGGTAATTTGATGGAGAAGCCACATAGTTTTGAGAATGTTGCTGTGCATTTACATGCGACTGAGGTCCCATATGGGATGTATTTATCATGGTATTTTGATTTGATGGCATATAATTCATATTTGTTCCTGAAGGTGAAGGAGGAGGTGCCATATGCTGTGGTGGTATCTGGTAGCCCTGATTACTTTGCATCTGATTTTGAGATTGTTGTGGAGGCACATTTCCTACAGTATGAGGAGATGGTGGCATTTGTGATTGTTGAGGGGGAGGATTACAGTTTGCATTTACTTGCATACTATGAGGACCAATTTGTTGTGGAGGGGGAGGAGGCCCCATACTAGGGCTAGGTGCTCCTGAGCCAGGATGCTGGCCAACACCAGGACTATGCCCGCCTCCAGCAGAAACTCCAGGACTTGGAACCGTTTTTCTGGAGTTAGCCATGGCCATTAATTGTGCATATCTTGGATCCTCCTGCATGCCTTTTTCTTCCATTGTATTAATAGCTTTTTGTAGCATATGCAAATTATCTTGAGGATACGGCTGCTGCTGTGGAGGAGGCTGCTGCTGTGGGGGCATATGCTGTGAAACTTGTTGTGGTGGTTGTTGCTGCTGTGGAGGCATCCCACCTGCAGGCATTCTCATAACTTGTTCTTTATTTGACATATCGAAGATAACTGATATTACATCACTCAGATATTTCCAAAACCTGCAAAATAAAATATGTTCATGAATATATCAAAAAATATGTTGCACAACAAATAAAGATTCATTGTGTCATGAATGATAAAATGAAGAGTGTGAGTTAAGTACATTTAATAATAATAAACTAACACTAATCACAGCTAAAATGATTATAGCATAATTATTTATATCTTAAATAAAAGCATTATTTAAAAACCACAGTGTTGGTTATGATGATTAAGCTGACTAAAATTCTGTAATTAATCATTATTGACTACTGAACCATGTCAATCAAAAACATAATTTAATGCTACGACATAACCTTTGCTCAAAGGGAAAGAGCTGCCTTGAATTTATTTAAAGCAAAAATTCCTTTTAAAAAAATGCATCATCAATGTCATGCCCAAGATTTGATGTTCCAAAATGTCACGCCTGAGTTTTTTTTTTTCGTGCATCATAATGTTGTACCCGAACATATATCGAGAGACATTTATTTTGGCTTCAATTCAATACATGACAGCACTTTAGGGAAGGTTTCAAAGGATAGAGATTTACGTTCAAAGTGCACAGCATTTTTTGTTGCAAAATGGCACCCAGTTCTTTGAAATGTTAAATAGATGATTTAGATTCTTCATCCCATATTCCTCCTACCCTTACGAAAAGTGAGCCTGCAAGACAGTTTCAAAGTTTGTTGTTCAAAAAAGGAATAAAATGGGAAAAACATAAGGAAGCATGATTGTGGTATACTGAGTGTGGAGTTGGTTTGTGCTTGGTAAAGTGTTTCCAGTCATACCACACAAAACTGAAATACTAAACTACTAATAGGTATTTATTATTTTAGAATATAATGCTCCAATAGAAACGATTTTTAACACTGCTTAAGCGAATATGCAGTGGCTACAAAACCTTAAAATTTATATGCATGTAATTCAAAATATCAATTTTTAACTATTAAGTATATTTTATTTTGTACTAAACATTTGATTTTTGGAATACAAAAATGACAATTTATGTACCCAAATCATCAAGACAGTTAAGTGAGAACTAAACACTTATAATAGCGCCCAAGGTTTGAGGAAGGAGGAAAAAAAAAAAAAAAAAAAAAAAAAGGTTATCAAAGTGCATACATAAATTAAAAATAAATGATTAAATATGTTGATTACACACTCAATTATGAATCACATACTACTCAAGAACCAAAATAAAAATGTTTCACTTCAATATGGGCACATTTGATACTCAGCACATAAGTATATATATATATATATTCAACATGGCTTGATAGATTGTAGGGTTTATATTTATTTTAACTAACATTTATTTTAAGTTTAAACTATCTTTCCTGTCAAGCCTTACTTTCCCCTGGAACTGCCAATGCCAGAGTATGTAAATTTTAGTAGAACGCGCAAGGATTCAAATTATCAGCGGAAGTATTCTGAGTTAAATAGAAATGAAACGAGTTCGAAGTGTGCTTTCTTGCTTCACGAGTGTGGAAGTGGCTAGTTAGAAATGGAAGAACCACGCGTTTCGGCCTGTGTACTTGCCTCGGCCAATTGTTAATCTTTCAACGTAATATTCAGAGTTTGCTGAATTATCAGCGGTATTGTAAAACGCGGTGAGGTTAGTTACGTTTAGAGAGCCTCGTAGTTAGTTACTTGTTAGTATCTCTTTTTAGTTTCTTATTTTTATTTTACCGCCGGGTCGGCGTACTTTGTGAGCGTGAAGAGCATGCAATTGTAATTTCTAAAGTTGAATAAAAAGGGACTTAGACCCTTCTCAAGACTCTGTCTAATTTCCAGTTTTCTGCAGTCACCACTTTGTTGCGTGCAGGTTGGAAGCGCGCAACTTTACAAGATAATAAAATAATCATGATCTACTAAATAATTGAGTTCTCTAAGACAATATATCAACTTATTAACTACTGGATTTTCATGTGACTGAAGGCCTTCAATGAAGCTGAAATTAATTAAATAATATGTTTAAGATATACTTGTAAATTTGCATAAAGTTCTGTTAACTAGAACTAAAATACTTAATCAAAAGACGAACAGGTTAAAATATTCGCATAATACAGTCAAAAGTCGTTAATCCGGACTCGTCGGGACTTCGGCGATTCCGGATTATCGATTTTTCCGGATTATAGATCATCAGTTTAAATCTGGTAAGATGGCATTCAGAAATTACAAAATTAAAAAAATATGAAACCGTAATTTATGAAATAAAGAACAATTATGATCTAAAGGGTATCAAAATTTACATAAAGAAAAAGCTTAATATTTATTTGTTTACTTTATTAAACATTTCCTTCAATGTAAGTTGCTTCGTTTCATGTGATAATACTTTCTCTTTAATTCTATTAAACAGACATAATTTCTTGTTTAGTTACAAAGTTCCGCTGTTCAAGTCCTATAATTGCTGTGTTGAGAATACCTACTAATTTGTCAATCGAAATGTTTTCGTTTTCAATAACCTCTGGGTCACTTTCTTCACTAGCGGAAGCGAATTATAATGACATAATGACGAATTATAATGACATAATGACGAGGAACTTGATTTAAATCATATCAAAGACTGAGTATATCCAGATGAAATACTACACTTAGTACGGAATTATAAACCAAATAAAATAAAAACATCTGCTCTGAAGATAAGGATAGTGCTGACAGATCAACTTCCAATCCCCAGTGTGAAATTGATAAACAGATTTCGGATTTCAAAACATACTTTCGCTTTGTAGATACAAATTAATCGGAAATTCTATTTGACATAATCTTTCTAATCTATCATAATCTAATAATGACGTTTCTGCCCCCCCTCTGCCGCAGAGCAGCGTGAAATTGATAAACAGATTTCGGATTTCAAAACATACTTTCGCTTTGTAGTAAATATATATCGGAAATTCTATTTGACATAATCGAAAGTTCAAGCTTACTTTTATAAAATTGCTCTAACAGTCTGCAAAAAATAATAAGCCGGATCCAATTCGAAGATTAAGGAACAACGCAATCTGCAACATTAACTGAATTAGATAAGTTTAGCTTAGCGTATAACTCCGTTACACATTAAACGCGCATGCGCACAAACATATTCGCAGCTGTAAGGGTCTTATGCGCTCTCGTAAACGCCTGTGCGCATGCGTGAACGCGACACATGCGCAGAAAGTTTGTAGCTTTGAGGTCCGGATTATGGGTGTCCGAATTAACGACTTTTGACTGTATGCAGGAAAAATACATTAATCCTAAAATTTTCAAGAATAAAACAATAATGACAAATACATTTCAGATTTTATTAATAATTTTATTCAGATTAAGCTTTTAAGAATGCCACACATTCTTTGATATGCATAAGATGCTCAACAACATGCAACAGGTGTATTTGACAATATTTTTCTTAGTAAGGTATTAGTATAAAGAAGTCATAGTATTAGTATACAAGAAAGACATGTGGTACCCACATCAGCGGTATTGTAAAACGCGGTTAGTTACGTTTAGAGAGCCTCGTAGTTAGTTACTTGTTAGTATCTCTTTTTAGTTTCTTATTTTTATTTTACCGCCGGGTCGGCGTACTTTGTGAGCGTGAAGAGCATGCAATTGTAATTTCTAAAGTTGAATAAAAAGGGACTTAGACCCTTCTCAAGACTCTGTCTAATTTCCAGTTTTCTGCAGTCACCACTTTGTTGCGTGCAGGTTGGAAGCGCGCAACTTTACAAGATAATAAAATAATCATGATCTACTAAATAATTGAGTTCTCTAAGACAATATATCAACTTTTTTGTTTTTAAACACAGTACTTTTTTATTGCTGATGTCAGGTTTGACCACTATAACAGACTTCAGTTAAATATGTTGTGAAACATTTATTTAAGCAGTAAAATTTAACAGAAATTTCTCATATACAAAAAGAGTTTATAAATAATATTCACAGGCTAAAAGATTACATATAGTGCTGTCAGAATAAAGAAAAGCTGATTTATTATTCAGATAATTCTTAAGTATATGCAAGAATTTATTTATTCAGGACTCAGATGAACCTTATGCAGGAAATAAACATAAGTAACTAAAGTAATACAATGCAGGCTTGAACTCAACAGTGTGCAACAGAAACAGCACAAAATTTAACAGAACAACATGTCTGTAATTGTCAATCTTATTTACATCATCAATAGTGTACAGAGGAAACTAGCTGAGCAGTAAACTATACTTAACTGATATTACTTTAGAAATCTGTAGTATGGTTTTAAATGCAGAAAATATTGCTACCAATAGTGACAAAGCTGGATAAAGATTAGATAGTGACAAAAAGCTTGCTGAGAACAAAACAAAAAAAAAAAAAAAAAAAAAAAAAAAAGATTGACATTTAGTGGGTATTCTCAACTTAGCAATTACAGAACTTTGTAAGTGAGCAAAAAATTATACGTAGTAACTTGAACAACTCACATTTAAAGAAATGTCTGATAAAGGAAATAAATAATGAGATTTCTTTTCTTAATTTTTGATTCCCTTAAGACCATAAATACTTCACTGTTTCATACGTATTATTCTATATGTCATCTTACTAGATGTAAAATGATGATTTAAAACTAGGAAAATTCTGAACAGCCAACGTTAAGTCCAGATCTCAGACTTCCTAGTGTAATTCTTCGACATATCAGAATATTAAGTTCTAAATAAATTCAGTTTTAATATGGGTAAAGTGGGATGAAGGAGACAGATTTAAAACAACAAAACCATTCGACTGGTTAAAAAAATAACAATTCTGAGTAATTACAGAGAAAGGGAGAGTCAGTGGTAAACCTTTGTAAAATTTTTTAATGAACTACAGTAAACAGATTTTTTAAAAAAAAAAAAAAAAAAAAAAAAAAACGTACTTACACATTAGTGCAACCATAGTGGTACAGTTTTGGCAACTTTTTAAGGGGGCAGGAAGATGACTTAAGACTGCAAAAATTTGTTTTCCCGATTTTTTACTTAAAAAAAGGGGATTGAAAATACATTTTAATTATAAATTTATCCAAAAAAATTATAAC